ATCCTTACACACAGGGGATCGCAAGGAACCAACCTTAGCTGGTAATGAAAATGCTGAATTGTCCTTACTTGACAAAGGCATCAACACCGAAACATTCTTACCTGACAGAATGAGTGAAACTGCGACATTCTTACCTGAAAGAGTGAAAGAAGCAGCAACATACTTACCTGAAAAAACGAAAAAAAACGAAGTATACTTACCTGACGTAGAAACGGGGGATGAAACTAACACAAACCTACCTCAATTGGATGGTGTCCTAAAGTCGCAGCAACGTGATGTAAGTTTTGAACCCATCATACACGATCAGACACATACATCTGAAAAGACCAAAGTCTTAGAGAATAGCTCATCAGCTCTGTCGGAAACAGAGAGCTCACTTCGTCCTGTCTCAGTTGAGAATCAAACCGAAACGGATGAGCATGATACTGTGCAACCAGAGATGTATGTCAGGAGATCTGAACGAAGTAGTCAGCCTCCTCAAAGACTAACTTACTCTCAATTGGGCAATCCACTAGTGACCGTAGTTAGGTCCCTTTTCCAAGGACTTAATAAAGCTTTTATTGACTCTCTTACTCAAGAAGTTGTGTACCCCGTAGAAACAATGCACAGGGACGTGCATGATATTTAATGGGGGAGGATGTAACCCAGAAGCTAGAACCTTAATGAGGTATTAACTAATTGGCTTACTAATATGATCCATCCTCAATTTAGATAAAATATAAAATATAAATTAAGGAAATTAACAATACTAATTAATAGATATCTAATTAACTAATAGATAATTTCATAATGAATTATTGGAAGGGTGAATAACTAAAATAACGAGTTTAATATTAAACATTGGTTAAAACAAGAATCTTGAACATCACTAACAGAAACAGAAGAGGAAAGCTGTATACTATTGGTCCAGGTGGGAATCTGAAATTTCATTGGCTGAGAGAAATAAGTCCCGCCTCCGCGAAATAAAACCGTGCGACGCAGCTGAGCGAGAGGAGAGACAAACGGCTGTGCAGCACGCAGATACAGAAAGCAAAGACTGAGCGGTTAGAGAGAGAGAGAGAGAGAAAAAAAAACAACGGTCGAGGCCGTGAAGAACCCTGATTTGGGTGCCGCATAGATAGAGGGAGAGGCGGACTTGACTCCTTCTAATAAGAGCTAGGAACTTGGAACCAACGCGATTTGTGTGGAGACGACAGAGTGAACCAATCCTCTGTAGGAGGGAACCGTTGGAGCGCGTTGGCTGGGTTTTTTTTTTCCTTGGGTTTGATCCCGACTCCTATGATCACTCACTTGGAATGAGAACTGGATTTCTTCCTGACGAGGGAGATGGCGAGCCTTAACCACTGAACGAACCAGGACATCTCAAGTAACTGAAGAGCAGACTGCTCTCTTCTGTGAAAAATCTCAACGGTGTGGTAGGAAAAAATCGCACCACCGGACTCTGACTTTCACCCCAAGCGTGGGGATTTGACTTGACGCCGGCTGACTTGTGACTCATATGATCAAATCTCATACCGACCAATTTACTATTGTCGATTGTTTTCATCTGTTTTTGTGTGTTATCTTTATGTGTTATATTTCCCAGTATTATTAAAATTTAGTATATAAACCGTTTCATGCTATACCCGTGACTCCAGTCATTCTTAAACAACCTCCAATTCTCCCCGAACCTAATTATTGGCCCATTTGTTTATTTTTTCTTTTAATTATCTTATTGTATCCTGTAATCCGGTTACAAATTGATCGAAATAATTAGATTGCAGATACAAGTGGCCGAACAAGCGAGTTCACAAAGCTAACTCGGTTCTGAGCTGCCCACTGGATTCAGTTGAAGAGACGTGTGAAAGGAAGATACTGGGGAAGATGACCCCCATCAAAAAAAATAAACCATTGCATTCCACTGTGCAGACGATGGACAGCTCCTTCAGAGGCAGACTGAGACATCCCAGATGTAAAACTGAACGCTACTGTAGGTCATTCATCTCCTCTGCAGTAACAGTGTGTAACTCCTCAGTTTAAGCTGTACCGGCATTATCATGTTACACAATAACACCAATGCAATACTCAGTATGTGTTCAATACTCGTTCAATACCGGATTTCTATAGTATGCCGTTGTCTCTTGCAGTATGCTGCACAGTGTTGGAACCCAAGTTTTTTCCTTTTTTATTCAAGGTTTTTAGTGGTCGAAGGTTACAATTCTAAACTACTGCCTATATGTGTATACATGTACCGTTGCTATTATTTTTTCTTCAAATTATTCTCTTAAATATTGGTGCTGCTTAAACAAGCAAATGTCCCCACTGTGGGATCAATAAATATATTTTCCTGACGACTCCCTGGTGAGGTTTTCCAGGAACGACCAACTGAGAACAGACCTAAAGGAGGACCCATGGATACGCTGGAGGGACTATGTTTCTCAGCTGGATTCTTCCAGAGGAGCTGGCCCAAGTGGCTGCGGAGAGGGAAGTCTGGAAATCCCAGGCTACCGCCCGACCACGGATAAGCAGACAAAACTGGACGAATCGATGCATAATGATTAATAAAAACCAGCAGCATCAACGTGAGTTATCTTACTGCTTACTAACCAATATATCGTTAAATCAAATACTTATACTTACACAAAAACCTTCATGGACCACTGGTTCATAAGACAACTACTAAAACACATTTAATTACCCAATAATCACAAATCCTCCAAACGAGGAAATAATCATGACACTGGGAAATCCATAAAGATTAACTTGAATGCATAACTAAATTAAACAAATCAAGGCTTCCTGCTTTGTGTGTCATTTTCCTCATCTTTGTGTTGCACGTCTGTGCCCTGCCCTGCCCTGCACTGACATTAGCTCAGGAGCTCTTTTGAATGCAAAACCTGCCATTAACCACACTGTTCTCCTGTTTCAAGAGTCCAGCTTGTCTGTGAAGTCTACAAAATACTAAAAAGGCTGCAGTAGATCTCAAGAGACGAAAAACAAGGAGCATGGCCCAATCTTCATACAACAGGAGAATTATTGCAAATACGGCAGCAAATCTGCTACTGAATGACTGAAAATATAAAAATTCAAGGTGTCATAATAGCTCAGTCAAAGTCAACCAGATTAAAGTGGTGCAGCAGGAGTGTAGGAGATGTGGATACAGTTTTATTTTTATTTTTTTGACAGGCTAGTAAGTCATAAGGTCAGCTGAGCTTAGTATATTCACACACTGCTTTTGAATGCCATGTGTTCCAGGATTCATCAGGATGTATTCACCTCATTGTGTGCATGCATGAACGTGTGTCTGCTCTGTCTTCTCTAACACCCAGTGAGCAGCGGTGAATGGCTGCTCGTGCGGAGCAAGGTTCTGTAACTGAACAATAGAACTTCTGTTGGAGATTTTTTCCTGTTAAAGGGGAGTTTTCCTCTCCACTGGTATTACATGCTTGCTTAGAATGGTGGTCTCTGACACAACAAGTCAGTGACTCGATGCAATTTGCTGAGTTTCCCTACTTTTAACTAACTAGCATGATGAACTGAACTCAGTTGAATGTTTACTTTGTGAAGTGCCTTGGGACGCCTCTGGGCCTTTGGCATTATATAAATAAACTGAATTGAATTGTTTGTAATGTGCCCTGATGCTAAGAAAAAAAAGTATTTCTGTTGTGACTGTGTGAAGTGAATGCTTGAACAAAGAGTATTACTCCTATTCTGATGTATGTTTCTGATTGCAGATTAAAGCACCGTTTCTCTAATGTAGGGTCTTCATTCACATTTTGTAGAGTACAAAAAAAATGTGTCTTCAGATAAGTTAATTTTCACAATGAATCATTAAGTAGAAAAGTATCATAAAATACATTTTTGATGGCTAAAGTTCAACGATAGGCTCCTAATTATGAAGTATCATGCCTGTCATTAGCTAAAAAAAGGAAATAGGTGGAGGATAATGTGTTCATGTGTTTGTTTCCAAAATATCTCAAGAACTATTGAAGGATTGTAATGAGACCCAGAAGGCAATTATTGCCCATGCAATAATTAGGGTTACCCATTCAGGGCAAGCAACTAAAACACAAAACTGGCCAAAACTTGGTCATTTTTACAGATATTGAGCTAAACTTGAGTCACAAGGCGGCAGCCAAGAATCATTCACAACACATACACTAGATCGGGTGAGCTCTTGCAAAATTTGCATGAGGTAATAGTTTGTTTTGTTCAAGATGTAATCAAAACGACTCAATGACTTCTCTATGTGATATGATTGTAGTTTAAACCTATAGCATCAAAAGCAGCAGGTAATTTACATCCCTTTAAAAATGCTATGCCAAATTTGGAAGGAGTTAGAATATTTGACTTCCTTATTCAAATCATTTCCTTTTTTGTCTGACTAAATATTTGGATCAGAAGTAGTTAAAGGTGCATTGTGTAGATATGAAGTAAAAATGACATTCTGTGGTAAAATTTGGTTACTACAACCGCTTAAACAACTCTGGAGCTTTTTGCCGGCCGTTGTCAAATTTCAATTGTCGGTGCTGCAGTATTAGCTCGCAGGACACACGACAACCCCACACTTACTGATGGTAAACAGTAGTTACGTCCCTCTTTCCTTTGTTTTGTAAGGAGAAAAACGGAATATGTTTCAGTGTAACCGTCCTTCCAAAACGACTGAAACAGTTGACTCTTTTGGGTTTTTCTCACTGTAAATTCTCACTATATTCTTACATACTGCACCTTTAAATTTATTTCAGATGCCGCAAGTTCAGGAGGGCGAGATGTGCATGAGGACAAAGTGACTTTTGACATTTAATGACTAAAACCTTATTAGATCATCCTTGATGGAGCAAAATGCCAACGTGCAGAAATCCCCTCCAGGCTCTTTTAAAATGTCACATTTAGGGAAATAAATAAAATAAAGAGAACTAATGCAATAAATAATCTATTGGGCTGCCGGATGATTTGAAACGACAAATGATAGACCCATTTCCTTTCCACTGCTGTCTCGAGGTGCAGCTACTGCGCATGCGCCACGCTGTTTCGAAGGAGGTGGGCCTACCAACTGTATCCAAGTGGGTGCGTGTGTTTGTGTGTATTAGTGTGTGTGTGTCCGTCTCGACGTAGCTCGAAACGTGTCTGTCTGCAGACAAACACACACACACAAACGTGAGACGTGGTAGTTGACGGTTTTTGTTCAATTGAAAGTTTTTTTGTTGCCCTCAGACTGGTTCGATGCTGTACCACGCGCCACTCCGCGTAACGCAGGAGTTACTGATTCTGTTTTTACTAAAGACTGTCCGCTCCTCCTCGTCCTCTCGATGAAGCGCTGCGATGCCCTCTGATTTTATATCCCTCCTCACCTCGGAGATCGACCTCAATTCCCCTAAATCTCTCTACTCTAAAGGTAAGCTCCTACATCCAGTTAGGTCACCACTAATTCACCTTCCCGTTTTATTATTATTAACAGGAAACAGAATGAACGTTTGGATGGCTCACGTTAAGCTGCTAGCTAGCGATGGTTAGCTTCTTTTTTGCTCTTAGCAAGACTAGCTAGCTTAGTTAGTTGGGTTGCCTTCGTCGAGCGACTAACGGCATGCGAGCAAAATATATTTTTTCATCTAAAGTCATACTAGTGGGGTGCATTTTAAGATGCTAGCTCACTGCTTATATAATATTAATAGAAAAAATGCGAGTTAACCTAGTTGGAGCTAGGTGAGAGGTGGATTTACATTCCTGCTACCACATTTGTTCGTCGATGAGTCGTGCTCGGATTCTGCAGAGAGGGGTGTGTGTTTTGTGTGTAAATGCGGGCACGTGTACTAAAGGGTGGTTGTGCTCATTCACATCGCTTAAATGTGTTACCTTCACTTCAATTAGAATGACAGTCTTTTGTTTTGACTTGTTTAGTGGAGTCGAGCCAGATCTGCCCTTTCCACGTTCATTCCCTGGGAGTGTTCATTCACTGCTACTTCTAGAGGAAGTCTCTGGTTCTGAAATACACTCCTAATACTGTTGCACACGTGTCAACGGCGCTCTGTTATTATTAGGAGGGCGTTGCAGCATGAGCCAAGAGCATTTATCTTCATCTCATTGTGTGATTAGCTTGTTAAGTAGCTGAGCGTTGGCACTTGCTGGGTCTTCTTCTCAAGGTCATTTCACTTCCTGCAACCATTGTGTTATCTGTATCACGTCTAAATTTACCGTATCTGATGGTTATTTTGATCAGTGGCTCCTCCGCTCCTGCTGCATATTCATTTGGTAGACTTGCATGTAGTGGATTGGTCAGTTATAAACATTGAAATTAATATTAGTTATTTGTCATCGTTCAGATCAAGGAAGTGAAATGCTAAACTAAACCTTTAACTAACTGATGTCTCAATTCCGTCATTCATACATTTCCCAACAAAACTTGGAGGCACACATATTTTTGCTTATGTTTACATTGGATATTAGTCACTGCAATGTGGATTAATCCTTAAAGCATATCGTCCTTTGGAGCAACATTAACCTAGACTGCCTCTGGACAGGGATGCACAACAAAGTGTATTTTCATCTGTTTGGGTTTCAGATGTTTAATTGGCCTTTAGCTTTTTCCTATTATTATTTTATATAGATAATGACCTTTTTGCAAGTGCAGGGTTTCCCCCTGCGATTTATAAGCCTGGCAGCCCACCAGGCTAAGCGTCATGCCTTGCCCCCCTCCCCGACCCTACCGTGTCCGCTGACATGAATGGCGCAACGGAACTAGAGCCCTCCATCAGTTGATACTGGTAAGAAACAGCAGTGGAACGTGTGCAGAACGTGTGCAAACCCCCGCACTCACGGAGGAGCGCTGCGGGACGGAGTGCGCGACCCACCCACCCACCTGATGGCTGAATCCGACAGGCATAACTCATTTTCTGGAGGAAACCCTGAAGTGGTAGGGAAGGATGAATATGCAATCAACATTGTGATCTTTTTAGGAAAAATCTTGTCTTAAAGATGCAACGTGTAAGAATGGCATCCTGTGGTCAAATTTGGTTACTGCAGGCCATTTTTCTAAGCAAAAAGTTCTCACTCCCGTTCTGTTGGTTGTCAGTTACGTCAGTTACGGATCAGCGCTAGAACATTCAAGATGATAGTAGGTAAATACATTTGTCATATTTTATGTTAGTACTCTTGGGTGTTGTTGTTTGCATCCTACTTTTAGCTTGCTGTTGTAGTTCTGAACAACTCAAAATGTCACAACGTCATTATTCACTTCAAATATACATTTCAGTTTAATGTTGAGTTTTTGGTTTTTGAATTAGTTTGAGATATTTTTAGAGCCGACTATTTGCTTCTAAATTGCCCATAGCATTGTTAACTTACAGTTAGCTTCTAGCCTGCTTTACCTATTATTAGAGTAAAGCAAAATGATGTTGTGACTTCTTAGGGGTACAAGAATTAACTTGTGGGTTGCTTCAGTTTACTGGTTTCAGTTTCTATAAACAACTTGTAAGTTTTTTGCCTGCTGGTGTTAAATTGCAAATGCACGGCACTGCAGCATTAGCTCGATGCAGACTCGACAACCCCACAGGCTCATAGATTGTAAACAGTAACTATGTCCCTCTTTCATTTTTAACGGAGAAAACCCGACTCTCCAGCTGGCTGAGAATGAAATCTGTTTCAATGTAACCTCCTTTTAACCATGACTAAAACATCAGACTGGTCATTATTTCCCCGTAGAATTCTTGCATATTACTCCTTTAAAATATTGACTCATTAGTTCTCAGGACAGAATTAACTACAACCTCTGGAAATAGGATGTAATCACCTTCTTGTTGATTCATTCCTTCATGTTTTGTCAACCTGATGTGATACAGAAATAATTCGTTATTAGCTGAAAATTCAGGCTTTGTAAAATGAACCTTACATAACTTACACATCTAAAGTATTATTTCCTAAGAGTCAAAACAAATGGATGGACATCACCAGAGGTTAGGTTTTGTTCTATGAAGTAAAATACAGGGACCTCATTTATCAAACCTACTTTCGTGCGTAGTAACAATTCTATGCATTTTGTGGTATTTATCATTTTGTACTTGTGTGTAGAAATGTTCCTGAATTTAAGAACATCTCTGACCATGCGTACGCACAGCATCTAGTGGCAGAACGGGGAAGCACAATACTGAATGTCTCTGTCATCCAATAGTTTCTCATCCACAAATTTTATTTTTCCAGTATGTAATTCTGTCAGTGGAAAATGGCTTTTTCGCACATTTGATGCTAAAACCAAAAAAGGACATCTGTGACAGATGGGAATCTGACATTATATCATGAATGTTCTGTGTTATTGGAGGATTTACCAGAACGTAAACACTGGAGGGAACGCGTTCTCAGTGAATGCACTGATCTCAAAGGAAATCCTTCTGCTATGCTGTGATTTGGGACCCTTTGTAGAGCAACAGATAAACCGCACAAATCCTATTCCAGTTCGTGTTTTATTTTACAACTACGAGAACCTCCTCTGGTCCCCGATCGTACACGCAACCAGCCTGAATGACAGCTCAGAAGAGGCCGAGGCTGCGCTCTCAGACAACATTTCCAAATAAAACTAGCTCAACGCAGAAGGACTCCTTAACAACCCGTTACTCTACGATTTATCATATTCATTTTTATTTATTTCTGACAGGAACCTCTCCTCTGTCCCAACTGCGTTTATAACCTCTGCAACTTGTTTGGTTCTTTTGCGCTTCGGCAGCCAGTGTTTCGATCTTGCTGTCAATAACGCTTTTCTTATTTTTTCGGGGGGGAAAACGGGGAATCCCCTCACGTGCTGAGGACATAGCATGACCAAATATGGTTAATTGGGGACGTTTCTTTATGTAAATGACGGACACAAGCACCTGGGTATGCACAGGTGGGATTTATCATCAGACGATTGCGGAGGAAAGTGCGTAGGAGAGGCCGCCGCATGTTTCATAAATCAGTCTTTTGACTTCGTTCACACATTCTAAATTTCAATCGTAGGAGGGAATATAGGACAGTTTCTACGAACATTTGATAAATGAGGCCCCAGTTCTTAGAAACCCAGTGAAACTTTAGCCTGCTTGCTGTTACCACATCTGTCCTGACTGTAATGGGGATGCCAACAGAAAGCTTTGCTCTGTGACTCTGAAATGCTTAAGAGAGACTGCCATATGGTCACACTAGATAACATAGTTGTTTATTTATATCTCAGTAACTGGGTGTGAGTGTGTGCTGGAATCTAGGTAGCAAAAGTGTTCCTCGAAAATCTACGAGAAGTGACCACTAATGTGCCTTTCAGTTAGTTGATAGGTCGGTGGTGCTTCTTGCTCAGAATTAGACAATCAAGGAATCTTAAAACCATTTACACGTACCTTCATGTTTTTTATTTTATTTTTTTGTATTTTACACATTTACAAGTTATCAGATCTGTCAACAGAGTAATACGATATTTGGATTCCATTGAATTTGACACTAGCCAATAAAAGTGAATGTGGGGACTAAAAAAGTGCATAGTGTTAAGTTTAAATTGGATACACACGTGTGTTGGCTGAATGTGTACTTAACCATAGAAACCACCAACACTGCACCAAAGTTTTAGACAGCGGGATTATTTTGATGCTCAGCTCTTAAGCTACACTTAAAACCTGAAACGGGAAGGAAAATAAACCGAAAGCCTTTGCTGGAGCATTGCAAAACATTTTTTCTTTTTGCTTCTTCTCATGAGTGTTGCTGTAGTTTAGCTTGGAGTGCAGTGTGTGGACTATTCAGAAAACTTGGCTGTGCTGGTTTGATGCTTCTCAGTGTGTAGAAACAAAACACCCATACTTCCTGTGCATAAGCACAAATCTCAGAGATTACCGTTTCAATAACCAAAAGATTTAATGTACAGCTACAAGGCAAATGTTAGGAAGTGTTTGTGACTCAGCCAAATAGAGGCAATTGTCTCTGTTGTTCTGGTCAACAGCATGTCCTTTGTTCCTCAAAACAATGACATTGAAATAAAACAATCTCACATGTGCAAGACATTTGTGTTGCTATTAAAGTAATCTGCAGAAAGAGGTGGAATGGGCCATGAAATAATTTCTATAAATAATTTAGTGTAAAGAACGAAAACTATTTTTCTGTGGTTTGACTGCAGTGAAAAGCTCTTTTGTCTGTAATCTGGTTCGAACATATTGTGTGTTCAAAACTGTAAATAAAGCCGCCATTGTTTCGCTCAGAGATAAATTCTTGGGATTCGTATGTTTTGGGATTTTGCAACAAAAAGTAGCACTCATAGATTGGCTGTTCTTCTACCATCCCCCGTGTTAGCCCTAATCCAGCTGCAGAGAATATAAAGGGACCAGTGCCCTTGTAACTTGGCAGAACCTCTAAAGCATGTGTAACGTGAGCGGTGCATAACTGTAAGGTGACGTAATTTAATTGTTCTTAGTGTAAATTAAAGTCAGTCGTCCTCTCGGCTAACTTGTGTGTTGTAGGAGAGGCCAACTGGGTTGTTAAAATTGTATATTCTGTATGTTTGGCTTCTGCACGGCAGATTGTGCACATCACCAAATTCATTGGCGTAGCATCTAGGGCTGCAACAACGAATCGATAAATTCGATGAAAATCGATTACTAAAAGCGTTGGCAACGAATTGCGTCATCGATTCGTTGTGTCGCACAACTCTTCCAAAAGCGCCCCCCCCCTTCCCGCCCGCCGTTGCGCGCAGACCAGAGCAAGTCAGATCAGCGCGAGGGAGAGCCGCAGATCAGCGCGAGGGAGAGCCGGTACCGGCAGATTAGCGTGACGGAGAGCCTGCAGACTTGCGCTGCTGCGAACCGGTTCCGCATTGTTGTGCAGCGATCCAGGCAGCTGCTTCCAGTGCACGGTCCATTCTCAAAGTGGCGCAACCAAAAAACTATAATTAGCACACGATCATTCTTGTCTGCACATGTTCTCTATTTTCTGTCTTATTTGTGCCTGAAGCGCGCTACTGCGGAGCTCATCACCTGTGCTGTGGTGATGTCACCTCACGCAGCATCGAAAACGCGCTCTCCGCTTTGCGGTCAGGAGATCCCTTCGATCTGCTCAAAAGTAACTGATGAGGTGAAAAGGTAAGAATGCAGGCAACAGATTTTCTGGAGAATTAAGAGGAGATGCAGGAAGATGAGAGACAGACAGGACAGGAAAATAGTTAAATAAAAACAAGAAAACAAAACAAAGTGTGGAAAAGTAAAATGTAGGTAGATTTATCTCCACTACACATTTTTACCAGTAAAAACAATAAGTTATACACATGTCATATTTATACATCTGATACAATTCAGATCACCTTCAAAACTCAGTCACACACCCAGGGCCGTTTCAAGACATTTTGGGGGCCAAGGCAAAATGCCCCCCCCCCCCCCCCCCCATAACTGGGCTCCCCAGAAGCCTCTGTGTAATTCATACCCTCTCCAGGAGTGTTAGTTATACGGTGTTTATAAAAGCCCCTCAGACATTACTGACATGTTCTAATATTATCAGATGAAAAACTAAATTATCAGACATGCTGTCTCATCTGCTTCTTTTCTAAACTTGCAAAAAGTAACAAAACCATTTGAAAGCCACTATTTGTGGATTCTCTGAAAGTTTCCATGGAGTTTGTGACAACTTATTTTTTCATTGATCCTATCGTCTAATCTCACAGCTGAAACAAGCATCCTTAATAATCTGCACAGGAAGCTTACCAATGCTGTAGTAAAACAAAATGTATAATAATTTATTATTAATAAAACCTTGTTGCAGCACTAAAGCATAAAAATGAGATTTTGCATTAAATATGCAAAATATTTACATATGAATTGTTTTAGAGCCCTTTTATTGGCAGAATCTGATATTAATTTAGTTCTTACAAAAAATGGGTCCCAACATGGTTTGTGTGGCGTTGCCATAGTGTGACGTCATAGGCACAGATCCCCTGTCCTCTTGTTTGGAAATGGAAATATGATCACCCTACATTAAACAAACTGTCCACCCGGGCTTTTGCGCTGCACAGAGACGCTTCGCTGCCTATGACTGAACGTCAGTTGAGAGTCAGTCTCATGCAGACTGACCAATGAAGAGAGGGCCTCAAGTTAAGACCCTCTCCTCATTGGTCAGTCCACACGAGGTGGGTCAAAGGTTACCCTGAGCGGGTTACGTGTTGTCAGGCATTCAAGTACTGAGTATATTTACTGCATATTACAGTAAAATATTCTGTATGTGACCACATTATGGTGATCCTTGGGTCGTGATGATGGAGCCCTTGAATATTGTTGAACAGGGTACAACAAAGTGTTAATCTGGCCCTGGTTCCGCCGTCACATTCCCGCAGAAACTGGTTGATCACACCGGGGCCAGACTACTAGCATGTGGTTTTACAACAACAATGTCCTCGGAAGCAAAAACGCTTTTAAAAGGGAGGGAGGAGTCCTAACTGTTGCTGCAGGCGTGTTGTGTGAGAGTGCAGTTATATACTGGTTAATATATTTTTGGGTTCAGTTGCTTTCATGTGGCCTAATGTGAGTCTATTTGGGATCATTGGAATGATCAGCAGCATTTCTTGATGTGACTTTATGGCAGTTGCCTAGGGCATCATCACAAGGAGGATGGCATTCATTTACTTTTGTTTTATTTGGTATTTTTTCAGTCATTTTTGGAAATAGTGATCAATTTTGATTAATTCACAGCCTGTGTTTAATTACATTTAAAATAAATGTCAACAGATGAGATCAAACAAAACAGATGAGAATTGCCCTTAAGCTGTTTAACTTGGACCAAGCATTTTAGGTCACAGATAGATGTAGCTTAGGGTATCTGTCTATACACCTTATAAGACAATTTAGGTGGTGGCATGTTGTTTTTCTACTATTGAAGTGTTTTCTAATAATGTTGTGTTAAATAAAGTGAAGGAAGGAGAGAAATAACGTTCCCCTAGCAGTTTTTAAAAATTTCCCCATTTAATCCGATTAATCGATTAATCGTGTCGAGACCCCATCCGATTAATCGATTATCCAAATAATCGTTTGTTGCAGCCCTAGTAGCATCATCACTCGTCAGCAATCATTGGTAACTGTTGATTTTTGTCATATGAGCCCCATCTGTGGTGCAGCATTTAAAGGTGTGGTTCACTGAACAAATTTTTTTTATGATTATTTATGATTAATCAGTCACTGTGAGTTTCATGCAGGCTGAACATGTAAATAGTCTCCTACACCTATCCTGCATTGGCTTCTGAGAGAAAATAGACAAAGAAAATCTTGGTTTGAAAAGCCTAACAGCCCTATGTCACACTAGCCTCTTTTAGAAAATAATGCCGACAATTTGTTGCAACACTGAGCCGGCATCTGGTAGTCATAGGTTGTTTATTAATGGTTAGACCGTAGCGGTAATGTGGCGCAACTGTGTCCTTTTTACAAAAGATTACGTGATAGCAGTATAAAGTGGTATGGGGTCGGTCTCTGCGCTGCCGCAAACTTCCGTTTAACTTACTTTGGTTTGCGCATTAAGGCTATTTTCAAGTTCCTTTCTACTCTAAAAAACTTTATTATTGACCTCTCTTTGTATTCGCTAGAACTGTGTACATTTTCATATTGTATGTTTATTAATAGCAATTCCAGATAACAAATTGTAAATCTATATTCTTAGTAAGAAAATGTTAATACATTTTCCTACTCCGAGCACCACATAATGAATGCCTTTCTGCTCTGCTATAATGAAAGCATCCGTGCACATGCATCCATGTTTCCTGTGATGTGATGAACTGTGTGGCTCTTTCCGTAAACTCTGGGGATGTGTTGTTGCTCCCTTGGCCGCATGGTTTACGTCACAAAAGTGCGAGATCATGTGTCCCGTCAGCTTTATCGCTCCTCTGGTGCCAAGTGTCAGATGACTACTACACATGCTGGTTGCTGCCAATAACAGCTGAAATATCTGTGTCAGAGTTTTGATAGGTGCTTGTTTCTTAGCAACCAACTTGCCTACTGATATGTTTATCAGCCATCAGATGTGGTTTATTCCAGTGTTGCTGCAGTGGTTACATATTTCAGCCAGGAATCATCTTACCACCAAACATCACCGTGCCTCTTAGGATTTCATTACATCAAACCCCATAGCAGGGGCTAGCTTAGTTTATTATAAAGACGCCTTTAGTGGTTAGGGTATTTATTTTCTAAGAAAACACACACACTCACCCATAATGAAATAGAGCAGTTTTGTTACTGCCAAGAAAATTAAATTCATGGAAGAGAAATGAACTGCTGAATGTTTCTCGGTTATTTACAGTTGGATTCTACTAATACGTCTTCTGCTCACCTTTTATGGCAGAGTCGGTCTATGACCTCCTTCCCAAAGAGCTCCAGCTGCAGCCATCGTCCGCACAGACAGACCCACCCACCATGAGCCAGAAGAGTGGGGGAGAGGGGGGACCGCCCCCGTCTGACGCCTTGGCCTCAGGTGAGCCATCTATTCAGGGTATGAAAACAATGATCTGGGATCAGTTACCCTGTAACAAACTATCCCCCAGGTCAGCAGGGGGCAAAGAATCATGTATGGCCTTTTGATTGTCTGGGGGCAACTTCATCTGTTAATCGGTGTCTGAGCTAATACTTAATGATAACTAAGATAATTTGGGTTAAAACCAGGGACCTGCCAAAATTGAAGCCACCTGGAAGTGGCAAAATTGTAGTACCCCCCTCATCCACTAGGTCTCCAGAAAGGGCCGAGTTCCCATTAACTTCCATGTTAAAAATGCCAACTTCGCAGCAGAAATAAACATGTTTGCAGTCTTGTACAAAAAACTGTTTAATAGGTCAAGTTGGGGGTGAATTATTTTGTTACTCATCCATTTAGCTGTATTTAAAGCTCGAATCATGAATACTTTGGGGGGGGGGGGGGTCTATTTGATTGACTGGTAGCAGGTTGGCTGTCAGCTTGCCCTCCTGCTTGCTCCAGGGAAGACCTCAGCTTCACGTTAAATGTGTTACAGCCTTGAAGGCAGAGGGTAGCAGGGTAGCTCAACCGCAGTTTTCTGGCTAAAAGCCGCCAACCTTCGATAGCTCAGTTAGCCTGTAGCTACATCTGCTCAGAGTTTGATGCATGTTAGTCAACTGCCTCCACCCTCACAGCCCCGCTCTCAACTCCGTTTCTGTATTTTAAAGAAAATGCGACCAAGGTGGGAACCGTCCGCTGCGCTTCAATTCAGCTCTTCCGAAACCTATGGGTGGCAGCGCGGAGGGCTTATCCGTCTTATATATATATGCAGTGAATGGTTAAAATGGCTTTTCCATTTGGACTCTGGTCTAAATTTGAAGATAATTTATTTAGTTTAATCAGTTTATTTTATTGCAATACAATTGTCGTTTAAAGAAATGTTTAATCCAGAATGACAGATGGGTTTCCTGTTCAAGCTCCACCTCCCCCTTGTGAAATAATTAAATGGGATTTTCTTGACTAAAACTAAAACTGGAAGTAGCTTTCCTGATATCATTCATGACGACACTTGCATAAGACAGTGAAGCCGTTTGGTGATGCTTATAACCTGACTGGACAGCTGTACTAGGTTTCTTCAAGGCTCATAATTCACCCATGTGTGTAATACATTTTAAATAACCACCAAAGTTAGAATCCTTTGACAGAAGTTGTTTCAGGAAGACTCCCACTTTGACAACCACCTAACCAATTAACTAAATAAAGCTCCCACTAAAAATAGTTCTTATTATTTTAAAAATAAATATATTTTTTTTATTTAACTAACTTGAGTCATAGCCGTTGCTTTAATATGCTGATGCCTACTGTGTAAGAAGTTCTAGACTATTGTTTTCACGAATTACAGCTCCAGAAGAGGCCGACTTTAACAGCATGCTAACAAACTTAACCTTTTTTTTTTCCAGCTGCATTTTTTGATGCTTTTGCTTCATGCTTTATGGTACCAAGCACGTTAGGCACTAGAATGAAGATAATCAAGAAATATTTTCCTAAAGATGCAGCTAAAGAAGTCACTTCTGACCATATTTATTATGACTTTATTTAGACTTGATATGTTTTCTGATCATATTAGCTTACTTTTTGAACAGGGTACTCACTAATGATGTTCTCTTCATTGTTTCTGCTTTTAAAATGTTATTTTGTTAAGCATCTAACACATTTTAGTATGATTAGACTATGAAGTTGCCCCGTAGCAATCATTTGAGTCTATTTTTAATGACTTTAGCACAATATTCCTCAGTCCTGGTCCTTGACACCACCTTCCTGCATATTTTAGATGCTTCACTGCTCTAACACTTCTGATTGAAACAACTTGAAACACCTACTAATATTAGAGCCCTGTTAATAGTGCATTTAGTAGTTTAAAGCAGGTGTGTTGATGTCAGGAAACCCCTAAAACATCGAGGCCAGCGAGTCCTGAGAACCAGGACTGGGGAGCAGACTTCGAATACAAAAAACATCTAGTCTGATCTTAGATCACGGTTTGGGGCTGCTGACATCAGCTGTATACACTGTTACAGTGAGGGGTCCTCTTCTATAGTTTGATCTAAAGAGCAAACTTACTGGTCAGCAGTCGTGTGGGGGTGGGGGCTGCTTTTGTTAACGCTACCGTTTCGTTGTCCCGTCTGACCCAGCTGGCCCTTAAGCAGTGCTGATCAAAGCATGATGGTCATAATGTTCTTCAGATCATCATTAATGCTTTAAAGTGTCTCTAAATGATGAACTTCCAACGTTACTCCTTCCTCCAGTGCATTAACTCATAACTCATCCAATTTACTGATTGACAGAAGTTGAGTCTTGAATGATCAGCTCTCTTGTTGCTCATTGGCTGTCTCGTTTTTATTGCAGGAAGTTCCCTCTGAGGCAGGGAGTGTCTGCATATAAAATGGTCTGCAGTTCACTGCTCCATAGGTCAGAGGCTTGTTTATTCTGTCTCCATGGCTACGCTCAGTCCCAGCCAAATCTTCCAATTGGCATGCGCAAACTACTGTTTTTCTACTGAATGCACATTGCACAAACTGTGATGTAACTCTGGCTACTTTAATTTGGCGCCACATTATCAGCTTGCAAAATTTGGCTGTAGAAGAAAGTTTGACCAGATTTTGTTATGTTTCTTTCTGGCAATGTGTATGTAACAATTTGTAGCTTGCTTTTGTTTTCGTAAACAAAGCATGTCAGTTTTGTCACATTAATTTTAATTGAGAGGTTTTGTAGGAATCAAACCTTTGTGGGACCTACAGTACCCTTCTCAACTTTAACTTCAGATTATTTGATCAATGCTTGAAAGCTCTCGCATGCCCAGTGAGAGTGTTTAACACACACCAGTCTATTGAAATTAGAGTTGGGAAGAGGGGAAATCAATCCAAATCATGCACAAATTCAGCTGCTTGAATGGGACTGCTAGCCTGCTCTGTGCTGAACATCCATTCTAACTCCTATCTATGTATGCTACTGCAGATGCCACCTCTTCCACCTCCAGTCCTTCTGCTTCTTCGTCCCTGGCCTTGGGACTTTCATCCAGCGGCGCCTCTACCTCATCATCAGACCATCTCAAGGTTGCTCCGCATCTCCACTCCACTGGAGGGGATGGCGTTGGAGCTTCAGAGATGCAAGGTACGGAGGCTGCCGGGTCTGTCCCCAGCAGAGACAACAGTGGAGCAAACGCCACCACAGCGGGAGACATGGGGTCAGGAGTGCTGTTGGGGCTAGCTGTGCAGCAGCTTCAGAACACCCCGTCAAAACGAAGACCCGTGTTGAGCATATCCCCACCACCTGAGGACCTGTTTGACGACAGTCAAATGTCCTGCCAAGAGGAGCCTACCACGTCTGGTGCGCTAGGTCCAGACTCTGAGCACAGCAGCAGCATGTGGGCCGACGATTCCGTCTCCAACTTCAGCCTGGTCAGCACCGTTTCCTACAATGACAACACAGAAGTGCCACGCAAGTCCAGAAAACGCACCCCCCGCCAGCGACCTGGTCCCAAGCACACTCCGCCTGAGGACAGCATGGACGTCTTTGATGCCGACAGCGCCAAGGGTCCTCATTTTGTCCTGTCACAGCTTGGCACAGACAAGGCCAGGTGGGGGTAACTTTTGTTTAAACTTTATTACGCTGCTCTTTCTAATTTTGCACACTGTTACTATTGTTGTTTATGTTTTTGTGCAGCCCTCTGGATTCAGGGACTGCAGTGAAAGGAGGGTCACTGTCAGCTCAGTTCCCCCAGAGGAGTGATGGAAAGGAGCTGAAGATCCTGGTGCAGCCAGAGACCCAGCACAGAGCTCGCTATCTAACTGAGGGCAGCAGAGGTTCAGTTAAAGATCGCACCCAGCAGGGATTCCCCACTATCAAGGTCTGACCCTAAACGCCACCAATTCGCCGTTCATCTAGTAATGATTTATGAAGCTTTTGTATAACTGGGTTTGATGAGTAATTATATATTTTGCTCACAGTTGGAAGGCGTTCATGAATCAGTCGTGCTGCAGGTGTTTGTGGCAAATGATGCAGGCAGAGTGAAACCTCACGGTTTCTATCAGGCGTGCAGAGTGACGGGACGCAACACCACCGCCTGCAAGGAGGTGGACATAGAGGGAACCACGGTCATAGAGATCTCCCTGGAGCCCAGCAGCGACATGACACTCGCGTAAGAATCAGGTTTTCTGTTCTTATATCATGTGGATCAGAATGTGCTGTCGATGTTTCAGAAGTTTGTCGTGTTTTTTCATCCATCTTGTTTTGTGTCTGCAGGGTGGACTGTGTAGGGATTCTGAAGCTACGTAACGCGGACGTGGAGGCCCGTATTGGTGTGGCGGGATCTAAAAAGAAGAGTACACGCGCCAGACTGGCCTTCAGAGTCTGCATTCCCCAACCTGATGGATCCATGCTTACTTTACAGGTCCCCTCATCACCCATCCTTTGCAGTGAGTCATTCAGACTGTTTTAAGTGATTTTTGCTATATTTTGTCAGTTTGAAATGTTTGGTTTTGGTCCCGTTATGCTGAGGGTTTGTAACTTTTTACTGTCTTCCTGCAGCCCAGCCTGCTGGAGTGCCAGAGATCCTGAAGAAGAGTCTTCACAGCTGCTCAGTGAGAGGAGGAGAGGAGGTTTTTATTATTGGAAAGAATTTCCTTAAAGGAACCAAAGTCATATTTCAGGAAAACATTGCAGGTGAAGATAGTTTTGTGTTGCAGTATTTTTATTGGGTTTCTGCAAACGTAAGATGAAAAATATTTACTTTTGACTCTTCAGATGATAATTCCTGGCAAGCTGAGGCAAAGATTGATATGGACCTTTTTCATCAGGTAAGTTCAAATAAACATGCATCTCCATCTGGTTTTCCTTGAGCGGTAGAAGCTGTGCTACCTGACCTTCCTGCCTTTCACTTATTTCATGCTATCCTTTCCAGAATCATCTGGTTGTGACGGCCCCTCCGTTCCACAACCAGTCCATCACTTCTCCTGTGTCTGTGGCGATCTTTGTGATGACCAATGCTGGTAGATCTCATGAGCCTCAGCCGTTCATCTACACCCCTGAGTCAGGTACAGCAATGTTGCTTTGTATCTTAGTGGGTTTGTATCAGATTAAAGGTTCTGATGTTGCTGAAATAACAAAATTTGCCACTCACAATGTGTTAAAACTGGGGTCTGTTGCATGTTGCCACGTTGTCAAGGAAAGTAGGATGGGTTTTGAAATCTTGAGCGGCTACAGTTCCTGCCCCTGCTCCCCCCCTTCTAGGAGCTGAAAGCCATGCCCACACACAGCTTTTTAGTGCTAATGTTCGTTAGGTCCTGCTAAGGCACACCTGATTCTAACTGCTGAATTATCTCCTCAGCCTTCATCGTGTTCTGCAGGAGTGGCTAATAACTCAGTTTATTTCTATCTGCAGCATTCAAGCAGGGAAACTTCTAGAATCTGCAAGAATTTGGCACTCGTGATGGTAGTACACCCATGCTAACGCTACAACAGGCTAAAACAATATTGTGATATAGCATAAGGTTGAACGCTATGCCAATCACTTAGCTACGAGATGAATCTCTTTTTGTTCCCCTCACTTCCATAATTAACTTAAAGTTCACAGCAGTAGCTCAGGAGGAAGAGCAGGTTGTCCAGTTATCGGAAGGTTGCAGGTTTGATCCTGGCTCTGACCAGAAAATGCTGCTGTTGTGTCCTTGGGCAAGACACCCCTAACCACTTTGCCTGCTGATGGTGGTCGGAGGGACCTGTTGAGCCGGTGTTCATCAGGCCTTGCCTCTGTCAGTGCGCCCCAGGGCAGCTGTAGCTACATTGTAGCTCATCCTTACCAGTGTGTGAATGGGTGAATTACTGATTGTGTTGTGAAGCGCCTTGGGGAGTTGTAGAACCAGAATGCAGGCCATTTACCATGTTACAGGTAGAGTTAGCATTCAAGCTAGGTTGGTGTGCTACGTTGACTGAGGCATTTGCGTCATCCCATAGTGCATGCTGGGAACTGGGGTGCATTTTTGTTGAGTCGTGGATTTGGAGTCGTATTTTTATTAATATTCATGATATGTGAACATCTCGTCTCTGATTGTCCCACAGCAATGCAACTCTACCGCTGCCTTCATTCGCTCTTTGAAATGTTAATTTTTTATCTCCACAAACAACAAAAGCTTGAACATTTTCTGCCATGTTGTGCAGTTGCAAATGCTAACAGTTAGCTTCTACTAGCCGAGACATGCTCTGCCCTCTCCTGACCACCAAATCAACACAGCCTTCCACAGTCGCTTGCCATGGCGGTTGAATTCATGAGTGCTAATTTTTCTTTGATGAATAGTTGACGGGCTTCTTCAGACCAGATCGTTTACTCGTTTACTTCCTTTCTGTGGCTAATGCAGGTTTTACGTGTTGGTGAGAATTTTCATGTTCAGCATGCACGTATTAGTTTCTCACTAAACAAGCCATTTAAATACTGAAGTACTTACGCTTTTGGCTTGAGACTAAAAAAGAGGTACTAGTACAGACAAGTGTGTGAAGGTAAGGGAGATTGTAAAGGTGTTGACAGAGAAGCAGCTTGTACATGTGAGAGTGAGCTGTAGATTCTCACCTCAGCAGACATCAGATATGACTTAATACTTCTTGTTTTTACACTCTCACCCCAGCTGAGAATTCAACCATCCAGACCGTAAAAACAGAAGGGCCCTCTCTGGTCAACACCTGTGTGTATGATGGCCAGATCAAGTCTCTGTCCTCTGAGCAAACAGACTGTTCTGGCCAGCCCTCCAAACGCCAAGAGGACACACCTATGGAGGTGTCCAGCAATCCTCAACCCACAGATGTCTTTAAAGTAAGATTTTATTAAGTAATTCATTATATCTAGATTAGAAATGCTGTTCTTAACAACTTTGCTTGCTTCCTTCCTTCTAGCCAACCCCTGACCCCCTCATCTCGATGCAGCAAACCCTGGAGCTCAGCTCAAGTCCTCATCCGCGTGGAGATTCATTTGAGAGTCCGATGCCCTTGCAGCCTGAAGACGTGGAGCTTCCCCAAGCACCCCCTGTCTTCCCTAGCCTAGAGTCTCTCAACACCATACAAAAGCCAGACATTACTTCAACAACCACATTTCCCGTGTCTGGAGATACCACCATCCCCCCAGTAACGCCAGAAGTCCCTCAGCAGTTTCTACGAGACCCCCAGGAAAGCTTGTCACCTGAGAGTTCAGATAGCAGTGGAAGGATTGTGGTTGTTGCCATGCCTCAAATCAGCACTCCTTCTCAACCACAACAACAGCCACAGGTCCCGCTGTTTCCCCAAGAAGGTGTAACTCAGCTCGAGAGGGCAGTGAGAGAGCTCCAGGCTGGAGGTAACCCTACACTCCAGCAGGTGCTGGAGGCAGCTGTGGCGCAGCAGCAGCTGAACTCGGTGCTTTACAACCCCACGCCCTCAGCAGAAACCTTACAGCAGCATGTTCAAGAAAACATGAACAGTCTCAGGCTGGGAACCTCAGAAACGTCACTATCAGCCCAACAACGGCTGCAGATGCAACAGCAGCAGCAGCAACAAATGCAGCAGCAGTTCCAGCAACATCAGCAACTGCAGCAGCAGCAGCAAATCCTAGAAAACCTTCAACAGCAGCAGCATCTGCAGCAGCAGCAGCAGCAAGTCCTCAACAACATGCAGATCCAGCAGCAGCTCCTGTTAGAGTCACAAGATCAACAACTGCAGCAGCAACAAATCATTGAAAATATTCAGCAGCAGCAGCTGCAACAAAATCAACAAGTCATTAACAGTATCCAGCTTCAGGATCAGCAACAACAAAATCAAATTCTTTCCAATTTACAGCAACATCAACTACAACAACAGCAGCAAAATCAGGCACTGAGCAACTTACAACAACAGCAACAGCTGCAGGAACAACTGCAGGAGCAACAGGCCATAGAGAAGTTGCAGCAGCAGCTGCAAGCCGAGCTGCTCCAGCCTCAGATTCACGCCTCCACCCAAGGCCAGCAGCCTGTGTCCCTCCTGCAGCAGGCTGGAGAGCTGCTGACCATCCAGACCAGCTTTCCCACACCTCCTCCGTCACACACGTCTCCCCCACAACAACTCTTTCAGTCACCCAGACCTCTGGCTGAGACTCAGAGTTCCCAAGAGCAGGTCCAAGCGGCGCTGCTCCAGAATACACTGACTGTTCTCACTAGCGGGAGCCTCGGCTCAGAGCAGCAGTCCACCCCGTCAACTATATATCTGTCCACCAACCCTTCACCCCAGCAGCCGCCCCAGCAACAACAGCTAGCATTCATCTCTTCCATGGAGACGTCCACCAACCAGCCTCAGTCTGTTTCGATGTTTCAGAACCAACCCCAAGCCCAGTTGTCTCAGATGCAGCCACAGAGCACCCCAATGGAGCAGCAACAGTCTCCACAGCAGAACCAACAGCAACAACACCCACAGGGCTCCTTATTCCAAAACATCCCAAACCACTCACAGACAAACCCGGTTTCCCAGAATCAAATGTCACAGCCCCAACAAACGAGCCTGCTTCTGTGTACTACAGACCTTAGTAACCCACAGGCTATCCTCTTCAGCACTCAGTCCCAAGGAAGCATCAGTGTTGGACTCTCACAATCAGACTCTGAGCCCATGTCCTTCCAAGTTCAGAGCTCCTCAGGCACCAACCCAGCCTCCACTGTGAACCAACAGCAGAGCTTATTCCAGGAACAGCAGCCAATGCAAGTGACGCCCAGCTCCAGTCAGGTCTCCAACAGTCAGCCTGTGAAGCTCTTCATACCACAGACATCGCTATCCAGCCTGCAGGGCACTATTGGCTCACAAGAGCTGAAAAACGATGCTGCAGCTCCTGCTGCTACCATCTTCGTGGTCCAGGGCGGTGTGGGTGTGGTTGCCAGCCCAGGTCAACAGCCTCCAGAGCAGCTTTTCCAGACTGCAGTGGGCAGTGCTGTAGCTTCACAGGGACAGCCCAACCTGTTTGTTTTTGGCATCCAGAATGGTAAGATGATTTTAGATTTATCTACATGTTAAGGACATTTAATTTTTTTGAGGGGATAGAGAAGCGGGAAGCACTTGAAGTAAGAAGTATGTTGCCTACAGTCGGGTGAAGAGGCCACAGGACAAATATTTCTCTTGTAAAGCGATGCAAACCAGGTTTTATTTAAAGCAAATACCTTTTAGCTAAGCCAAACTGCAGTGTTTTTCACTCTAGTCTATTTTTTACATTCCTGACATACCTATTTGTTTGCAAGGATGCTAATGCATTCCTATCTTCTGTGTCAGCATTATTATTTTTTGTAGCAAATGTGTCTTTTCTTTCCAGATTCATCGCAGCTGCTCAGTTCTTCTGGACCAAGCTTACCTACCCCGAGCCAGGCCCAGAACCCCGGTCACATGCAGCCTCTGCTGGACCAGCCCATGGTCCCTGCAGCCTCCAGCGTGCACAGCAACTTGCAAAACACCCTTCAAGCTCAAATGCAAACCAGCCTTGAGAATGCAATGCAGTCAAACACCCAAACCGCTCCACAGTCTGGCTTACAGGTATCATTAGAAACAGGTCTGCACACTCCCATGCAGACCAGTCTACAAACACAGATGCAGAATCAGATGCAGACATCTTTATCTTCCGCATCTACTAGAAATAAATTTGAAGACCTACTGGAGAGTCTACAGATGCCGTGACATTTTTGAAGAAGGTCGGCCCTGAGGAGAGGCAGCGTTGAAAGTTAAAAGGCGGCGCGTTGGTGTTTGTGCCAATGCCATCAACCCAGAGAAGAATCAAAAAAAGTTTTGAGAACAAAATTCTCTTTTACTGAAAACCTAAAATACAGTATGAATTTCTGTGACATTGTTTTAAAAATCATATTTATCCTTAATTATTCAAGCCTCCTCCCTCCGCCTTTGTAATTTCCCCTCTAGCCGATCGAAGAGTGGTAACTACTTATCCATTAATCTGAAAAATGCAGTGTTTTTGTTGTCAGTGTTTTAATATTGTGAGCCTAAGAGATGATATAAACATGTCGGTTCGGTGGAGAACACGAAGAGACGAAGAATGTCAGCAACATGGAAACGTAATGTAGAGTTTTAAAAAAGGAAAAAGTTACAGATTAAATATTAGATTTTCACAGATGTGCCAGAAAAAGGCCCAGTCTCATTTTGTGTGTGTGTAAACTCCACGCTTCATGGTCGGAACGGGAAATTGTAGGGATGACATTTTTATTATAATCACTTGATTGCAGCTCATTTTTTGCGCATAAAAATTGTCCAACCGTGTTTTTGCACATGAACGACTTCTGTAAAATCTACTCTAAGAGTACAGATTACTTAAAATATAGAATTCATTGTAGAATAACATAAGGGTGTTTTTGTAGAACATTTGCTGGTGGTCTGCACTTGGAGTCTCTCCCAGAGGGAGGATAGTAAACAACGCTATCAGCTCTGCTCCTCAAAAATAAAACGACACATCTCACCCAACGTGCGGCGTCTGAACAATCAAGTTGTTTGGAATTGCAGGAAAGGGCAGAAGGGATGTTACGCGATTGCAGATGAGGTTAGTGAATGATGTGGGTTCATGTTTAATCCTCATCCCTGGGTTTACAAAAGCTTTCTAGTGTTCATTTTATGTGTTCTCAGCGTTTTGATTTTAAGAAGTTGCCGTGGATAAAGATGCTTTCCGCTAGTCAGAAGTGTGTTGTGTGTGATTTTAGAAACATTTAATATAAAAGCACTTGTAACTGCTTTATATTCGTCCACGGCTCCGTAATGAACTCTTTAGAACGCAGGAAACTCCGTCCAGCATAGAAAAAAGTAAAAAGGTGTAAGCAGCTGTGTTTGTAATGATACAAGCGTCTTGTTCGAGCAGTTTTACATTTTATCATAAATTATTTTGTTTAGGCGTCAGACAGTTAAATCCCTCTTTGTATTCAGTCTCAGTGGTCCAGTGAAGCCCGTCCCAGAAAATAATTTTTTTTAAATAGCCATTCCCATTAAATCAGTTGTTTTTCAGTGTTTGAGTAGACCTACAAAAGACATAAAGGTACTTTCTATCGCAAGTCTCATTAACATTTCCACCAGTTTGACAAGTTACTTTTCTCTTTAATTTCGGCCAATTTGGCTCCATGAAAAAAGGCCAATTTTTAAGAAATCAATTGTTAGAATTGTGTTGGTCAGATGCATTTGTTTACATTTTCGTAGTCATGCTCTTGTCCTGCAGCTGTTAGTGATCCATTTTAAAGTAACTTATCTTTTTAAAAAGTTTGTACCATGTATCAAAATGTAGAGTATTTTTGTAAAAATACAAACTAAGCTTTTTTTTTGTTCATGCTCATAGCACAGAGAATATCATTACAGGTGTTTTCTCTGGAGATGAGGCGCAGGTTTACTGTGAAGATAGAAATGGATTTAAGCAGACATTTATTGTTATTGCATTGAATTCATACAATCTGTAGAACATAATATGTGGGCTCAGCTTTATTTAACTTTTTTATTTTAACATCATGCATCTCAAATGGCACTTTGACTCATCCATTTACTGTAGATCAGGTTAGAGTGTGGTCGTGCCGTTTCCAAGCATTCCATATTCCCTCTTGGTTGAGGGGAGATGAAGAGCACATGATGTTTGTGGAAGCGCTGCAGAGAAAAGTCACGCCTCTTTAAGCCATACCAACACAGAAAGCCGACCTGTGACTTCGCTCTCATGAATGTAATTTGTACCTCATGGTGTGGACACATGGTTTGGTCTACATCCAACATCAGGCCAATTCCAGTTTTCAAGATCTTGTCTTTTGAGGCAGAGGGAATAAGTGGGCGTGGCAATGACTGCCACTTGTGTCGTCTTGGATTGTGGTGAAAAATGAAGTCCAGACCTTTTTATTTTAGGTGAACCTCAATCTTTTAACTGCGACTTCCACCCCAAAAAAAAGTCAAAATAAAAGCGAGTGTTGATTTCATTGTGGTGAAACGAGCACACAAAACTACATCATTTGTGTTTGTCCTTGAGTCATGTAAATGAATATCCATGTATATTTAAATGTGAAATATACTGCAGGGGTATCTTGAATTTAAATTGTGATGCTTTCAACAGAACTTTGTGTGCCTTGATAACTGACCCGTTGCTCTGCTGTGTTTACTGGCGTGCCCTTTTTGTCTCATTTCTCCTTGGACCGTGTAACAAAACATCAGGAATTTGGTTGATTCCTCAACCGAAGCATCGCTCACGCTTGTGTTTTGTTTTCTCAACTCATTGCAGGATTTGTGCAGTTTTCAATCAAGTGAACTGTCACCTTGTTTGTAGTTTTCTATTAATGTTTTTTCACGCCTCGTGAGATTGGTTCATGTGAGGTAAAGGGGAGGAGACCGTGGCGATTGCTTTATGACGAGCATTCTTGTGTTGATGTGCTTTTCAACATTGTTGCTGTGAAATAACTGATCAAAAGGGGCAACCATGATAAATTTACTGTTAACTGCCAATAGTGTGAGCTGTATCTTGAGCGTAATCAGTGTGCTCACTTCTAGTTTGCTTTCTATTTCTCATCCTTCCAACAGTTCTGTTGTATCGGTTTTGTGTAGCTTGAGCTTTAGTATCTAGCCTTAAAGATCCTGCAGTAGGGATAAAGGTCAACCCCTGCGTGTACATTTGATCTATTAACATGTACTTTGCCTTTGTCTGGACATTTGTATACTCTTCTGTTTATATCTGTAATCCTGCTGCTACATTAAATGAATTAATAAAAGTGTAAAACAAAGATCGGTGTCATTTGTTCCACCCTCCCCTGTTTCACTTCACATATGCTCATTTTAAAAGACTCAAGTTTATTAGTGGAAGCAAATGAAATCAGCATTATTTCAATCTTTACAACAAAATGTGTCCAGATGGCTAATTTTAATTGAATTTAATTTTAATTCTGACTCCAATCCAAACATGAAAAAAAAATGTCCATTCCTTTTGTCTGTGGTTGTTTTTTTGGAATTATGTGCCAAAAACAAGCCATTTCTAAAAGTCCCTGTGTGTGACATCACACCAGGGAAATTAGAAATAAATTAGGTGCAAGAGATGGTCCCTCCTTGATTTTAGAGCTTCTCATCTTATAGCAGCCAGTGTGTGGGGCAGCACATAGACGTTTTAGATCTAGATTCTAGATTTAAGGAAGTTTACACAAACATGTCAAAAAATGCACAGAAACAGAAAGATTGCATTTGTAAAGACTCCATTATACAGTTAATTAGCAAAAAAATGTTATTTTGGGGTTTAGTTACTCTTTAAATTGACATCCCTGAAACGGCTCATTCTGGAAGATACTGAAACTGTAGAGAGTAAAACTGGTGAAACTGCTTCATGAGAGATTTAGTGCAAAAAAACTTAACATGTTTATATCTACCATAGAACTTATAAGTCATATGTCAACCTTAAAGTGCACTCTAATGTGATTTTTTTTTCATAAACATCCAAGTCAGGTTATAGTTTACTCAATCTCAAATGTAGAATCTGATGGAAAAATGAAAAAGGATCCTCCAAATCAAAACCGGTGTCAAACTCAGGTTTTCTCTTCAGAGCCAGGACAGCGACCAGAACAGCTAACAAGGCAGTCAGTCCCCAAATGTGAAACTCCCTTCCTGAAACGGGGTCCTGGAAATAAAACGAGTGCAAAGGCCCCAACATCCCAGGAACACCGTGGGCAGCTGAGTGGTCTTTCTCACAGATGAAGAAGTCCAGTGGGACTGTAAACACAGCACTGACCTCCGCTGGGTTTGGGGTTGGGTGGAATGTTTCCTCGATGAAGCCCACGACTGGGGTCACCAACAGGCCCGTCTGTTGGAGAATAGTTAAGTGTTGCAACACAAAAATAGTCTACCGGCAGATGATGCTGTGTTTTTACCTTGCTGAAGACTGGGTACAGTGTGCAAACCACCTGCACATCATCAGGTTTTAGACTGATTTCCTCCATTGCTTCTCTCAGGGCTGTGTCCACGTCATCAAGGTCACTGGGGTCTCTTTTCCCACCTGGGAGACATACCTCACCTCCACCGGTCCTCAGCTACATGGACAAAACAAAAAGCAGGCTGTAGTGGATGAGAAAGGTATTACTCCAACTAACACCCATGTCTTTTTAAGTTACCTGTTGGGAACGCTGAGTCAGTACGACGTGCAGCTTCCCATCCCTCACAAACAGCGGGATCAGAACTGAGGCTTTTGGCAGGACCGGTAGAGAGTCGAATTTATCTCTGACGTCAAACTGCTTTAAAGCGGCTATTACCTGAGCTTTCGTCTGCATTATGATTCTACAGCATAAACTCTAGGCTACGACTGGTTTATACCTGATTATCTGCAAATTTTGTCAACCGATAAATTTGTGACGTGACTAAAATTGTTGATTTGTATCAAAACCATCTCATTTGAGCTGCTTTAGTTGAGCTAAACGTGCTAAAAAAAACAAACAGTGCAGTCAAAACAGGTACATTTACTTTTTAACATTAACTAAAGATGTTTAAAAAATGTTTTCCACAAGTCCGCAGGTGAGTTGCGCGTGCACTTAACCTACCGGTTCTACTTCCTGATTAACGTAGCGAGAACACCGATTGGATAAACTGCCCGTCTCTCTTCCTTTCAACCAACCGTAACCTGGATTATCTCAAATAACCAATCACAATAAAGTGCCTGCCCACTCCTTCCCGGAAGTTTTGTTCACTGTTGTTGACGATTGAGTTTACCCAACTAAAAACACCCTTTTATCAAGCTTTATAAAAAAAAAACAGACACAATGGCATAATTAAAACATCAATATAATTAAATAAAAATAAATCTAAATATGAAATCCTATCAGACTAGAGACGTCGCGAGAAATTATAGGCTGCGCAGAGACGACCTATCCAATATGGCGGTGACTCTGCTACGCTCTCCAGCGCCCAATGGGGCGTCTACGTATTTATGTCTATGGACAAAATCATCTGAAGTAATTCATTATTCAGCATGTTCAGTCAACATGAATGCCAACACGAAACAGCTCCAGGAGTCAAAAATATGGAAGTCCTTATACAGAAATTTAAAAATAGACCAAAGAAACTAACATGAAACATACAGGCAAAATGACAGGCAGGATGGTCAGTGAAGAAAAACGCAAATATCAAATTCACAACGTTTACAAAAACTAAATATAACAAGACTGAGAGAAGACAATTGAAAAGTGAAGAAAATATATAGCTATCAAACAATTGTGCTAAATGACCAAGGACATAAATGAATATAACACATGTAACAAACAACCAAAAACTGGATGTAAAATAAAACACAAAAATATCACCTGTTTTCATATACAAGAACAGGCATCGCATATGTACAATTATATTTACAATTAAATTAAAAATAAATCATAAATGGGAGCAGAAATGTAAAATTACTAAAAAAAAACAAAATAATGAAAAAAATAGGGAATTGAGTTCTTGAATTTGTGTAGAGCTGTGTCCTATTGTCATAGGCTACTCTAATAAAAAAGATACATTTACCTCCCAAAAATGACTGATCATAAAATAAAACATTAAGGGACAGTTTTGTTTTTAGATGGATATACATGCGTTATGTTAAGACACCTTCTTTTGGGAGAACAAAAAAGAAAAACAGAAAACAGGATTGAGGGTTTAAATTGGATTTATATTGCTGTAAATAGGTCCTTAATGAAAACATCAATCTGTTAATAAAGCTTAAAATAAATTACATTTTAATTTCACTGGAGAGTCAGTGCACTTATATAAACCAAAATGTATGAAATCAGGATTTTACACAGCTTGAAACACGAGTATGCCACAGCAAATACATTCTTCTCTCCATTTTCTACAAATAACTTAAATATACAGTTAAAGACTATACTTATAAATTAAGTAATTAAAATTTACGTAACTAAATATTCTCCATTTACACTGTTAATCCTACTCAATAATAGGAGGGAAAATAAATGTTCTACTTAGAGACATTCTTGTGGATTCTTGTGCAAAAACTAACAAAGTTCCTAACAGAAAAAAAAAACTAAGAAGGATCATCACAGTGGTCCAAGTCTTTAGTGAATCAGATATCGTCTCTGCTTCGAACGCTCACATTTTGTACTTTTCCTTGGCCCGTTCATTCAGGATGCAGATGTGCTGTGGATCAGAAAATCAAAAGACAGACCTGGTAAAGTCCAACTTGGAAACCTGCTATATTAAAGATTCTTTATGGGAATGTTTGACAGCTCAGTAAGATTTTTCAGCGTTTTCCTTAGTAATTGTGGCAGTTGGCAATCGAACCAGTCAATCTACTGTGATGCTGACGGTTTTCAACTGCGCTGTCTAGAGTTGCAGCTTCGTCCTTGTTCTGCTCTGCAGCCTCAGTGAAATTAGAGATTAGAGCAGACCTCTATGTAGCAGCAAATTCCCCCAAAGACCTTTTAAAAGGATGACTTTTACCAGCTGCAAAGCAGGACAGAGGAGTTTGTCTTCATTTTTAGATTAAGAAGCAGCATCTGAAGAAATGTCAGGTTTTTAATTTTAAAAAGTACCGTTTTCTAACATCAGACATGAAAACAGCTTCAGCTGAATAAACTCATGAGTGGACTTACAATCATTTGAGAAGTTAATAAATGATAACTCATTTTGTCAGGTTTGGTTTTATTAAATCGCAAAAATCCTCAAAGACTTCTTTTTATTATCTTGATTAGAAGAGAAACTAGTAAACCATTTCTCTTGAAAGGGAGAGATAATTATATCCCATAATCCTTTGCAGCAGCAACAGCCAAAGTCAATATTATATTAAATAAAGCCTCAATAAAACAACACAATAAAAGCAGCTGACAAATAGGATTTTTGTAATTTAATGGGTATAATATACCCTCACCTGCCACTTAAATGGGCCCACCTGTTCAACTGCCTGTTAATTCTTAAAGAGCAAGTCACCCCTAAATCAACTTTTCTCTGATAAACTATTTAACCCTCCCACTGTCTTCATGGGTGACCCCGCGAGGAAAGTTGACCATTGAGCAGGATTGATGGTTTATCCCTTGAGGTCCATGTGGCAGGGGTGAGGTGGTGCTCACTCCTCACCCCTGCCACGTGGGCTCTCCCTTAGAGATAGGGTGAGGAGCTCGGTCATCCGGGAGGGGCTCAGAGTAGATCCGCTGCTCCTCCACATCGAGAGGAGCCAGTTGAGGTGGCTCGGGCATCTGGTCAGGATGCCTCCCTGGTGAGGTTTTCTGGGCACGTTCAACCGGAAGGAGACCTAAAGGTAGACCCAGGACACGGTGGAGGGACTATGTCTCTCACCAGGGAACGCCTTGGGATTCCCCCGGAGGAGCTGGCCCAAGTGGCTGGGGAGAGGGAAGTGTGGGCCTCTCGACTTAGGCTACTGCCCCCCCGACCCGACACCGGATAAGCGGATGAAATGGATGGATGGAAACTGTCAGTGTCATGCCGTTGTCGGGTAAAAACTCTGCCCTGCATTTGAATTTAAATCTGCCATCGCTACTGGCTAAGAGGTACCCTAGGACGTTAGCTGGTACCTTGTGATGTCACAATGTTGTTGTCAGCCTGTGTGTGTGTGTGTGTGTGTGTGTGTGTGTGTGTGTGTGTGTGTGTGTGTGTGTGTGTGTGTGTGTGTGTGTGTGTGTGTGTGTGTGTGTGTGTGTGTGTGATTTGTTAGCGGCTCCACCCTCTCGGTCTGCTAGGCAACAGCAATTGTTGCATTTTTCAAACAGGGAATGGGAGTGGAGTAATAATCTGGTAGGAGGTGACTTGCTCTTTAATTCTCAAAGTTGTGGAACACTTGTTTGCATTTGCAGTGATCTCTAGTAGGAATGACTTTTTCCAACACTTACACTGAGATCTCTGAAGTACTCATTGTAGTCCAAAGCGTAACCCACCAGGAAGGCATCCGGCACCTCAAAGCCAATGTCTAAAAGAAATAAAACACACCATCAAGGTGAGTTATCCAGAGAAAGCCACTACCTTTAAGACATCTACACTGAAAGACTAAGTCACAGTTGTGGGTCTTTTACAGTTCCTGTGAGGCTGTGATGAAGTTGTCAGCGTTAGTGGGAAGTCAAAACGCTTACAGTAACAGCTGTCTTTGAGGAGGTAATCTTTAAAGAGATTACCCAACTCAAACCTAAAAACCTTATATAATCAGAAACTGGGGATTGTGAGTCGTGTTATTAGTCCCATAAATGACAGACCACATGTACAGTGGACAAACATGAATGCTTTTTCCATCACTAGAGAGAGAAGGGTACTCACAGTCTGGTCTATATCCCGAACTCCTGGGAGTCCGTTTCACTAGAAGGCTGGGAAGAGATTAAAGAAAATGCACGAAATTTAAAAAGAGATGCAAAGAACTGCAACAGGTTTTTACACGTTTACATGCAGATGGCTGCAGCCTACTCAGACAAGTATCACATGTCAACATCAGTGCATAGATCAGAACAAAGACTCAGTAAAGGGGTTAAAAACAATGTGTTGAAGAGAAGCAACAATCTAAGTGTTAAATGTTGCTAAACCTCTGCAGGAACAGGAACTGCAGCTACAACCTTTAGTTTTTTTGGGGGGGGGGGTTAGCCCTCTGGAGGCAGGCGTTGCAGATTTGCAACAGTCAAAAACCTACGTACCTGGTTATTCTACAATTTCATGAGCATATTTTTACTCAGAAGTACCCCTGAAGGACTTAGTTTTTCGTCCTGTTACCAAAACTTTATTTGAGTCTGAGAGGGTTAATCAGCGCTTTAAATAAGTGGTGATTCCATGGTGGATATTAGCCGAATAACATCTTCGGTAAAAGCATTACAGAGAGCCTATATTGGTTCTGTTTGACATTAGGAAAAAAAAAAGACTTCTGCCTCCACAGTGCAATTTATAGTGCAGCAGATTAACTCTTAAGCTGCCCCCTCCCTCTGTCACATTACATCTCTAATTCAGTCCTAAAGGAGCCTGTCCATTAGCTGAGAGCACACTGAGGACATATCAGCCAGTTAAAATTCAGCTCTCTGCATTATAAACTGCACATCTTACCTCACAACTTTGATCATCTTGGGATTGCATTTACTCAGCAGGGAAAGCAGCGCCTGCATCGTCCGCCCCGTCTCCACAATGTCCTTTCATCACAGCAGGAAGTGGACACGATGACAGAAAAAACACTGTTAAACCACAGGAATTTGCTATGGAAATCAGATGCATTGAAAAGAGCTGGGTTTTAGCAATCCGACTAGTGTAGAATAGTTCTTAGTGGTAATTTGCTGAGTCACCCCTCAGAAATTAAATAAAAAGTTGAGAAAAACAGCAGGAAAAAATCTCTTACCTCCACAATTAAAACATTCTGTTGAAAAAGAGAGATAATTCAAAATAAAGCTGACTAAAATAAATTGTTGAGCATGAGACTCCATGTGACTAACCTTGCCTGAGAGGTTGGACAGTTCGTCCCCTCCGATGACTTTGACACTATTTGTAGATTTATCATTCTAAAGAGACAAGAAAAACACAAACCCCATCACCTCAGCATTACCGCTTCAGTTTGGCTCTCCAAACTAGCTGCAGCAGCCAGCTGCTGATTTTAAAAGATTGCGTTTGTATATTTGCCAGCTCTGCGTTTTAAGCTTGACATCAGCAAAGGAAAGCTCCAGAGACGTAACAAGAAAGGTAGCTCACACAGTAGCTCTTGATTCTAATGAAATCCACCGTCAGCGGCACCGATTTATCGCTGTTGTGGTTCAGAACTTTGATGTAGTCCAGGAGGTCTGCAAAGAACTTGTAGCCCCCTTTTAGGACACACAGAGCCACGATGTGGTGTCCCCCCATGTCCTGGATGATGTCACGAGCCAGGCGCTCTGTCCTGCAGCAGAGGGGAGAGCTGCATTAGCGACTGAGTCATTTTCATCCCACTTTTGAAGTTATGTGATATGATTAACCGTCATAGCAAAAATAAAAAACAAAAAATCTGATCAATTTCTGGGATTATTTGAATATAAAATTTGAATATTTTGCAAGAAATTAGTCTTTAAAATACTTCAGGCCTTTCTTTCTAGTTCTAATTGTTGCCATATTTTCGTAGATTGACTTATTTCAAATCATGTGTGATATAGGGCAGAAAAACAGGTCAACTTAAGCTGAAATGCGAGAATAAATAATTTCCATGTTATAGTTTTTAGTCAGCCTTGTGTTCACCATCATGAATTCATAATAAAACACTCTGCAGAGAAGGGAGGAAACAATACAAACAACTTATCCTGAAACAGATCCTTTTAATTTATTGGAACTGGAAATGCCTTGGAGAGTGAAAAAAAAATCAAGGCCAGCATTGTCCAAACCTGGTGCCACCCTTCTGAAAATGTAGCCTCCCTGATTCAGTGACTAATTATCTTTTCAGGATGTCCTCACCTTCTATTAATCACTCACTGATTGAAATCAGATGTGTTGAAGCAGTGAGACCCCTGAAACATGCAGGATAATTGGGGTCCAGGGCAAGATGCTGCTGATGCAGGCAGAGAAGTAAGAAGGTGAGCGTGGATTGATTAACCCACCTGTCCATGATAAATCCATGGGGGATGATCACTTTGTCCAAATCATTCTCATAATGTCTTGGAACACAGAAGAGGTCTAAATCATGTCCCTTCTCATCATCAGGAATCTGAAGGAAGAGGAAACGGTCATCATTAATGTTTGTAATAAAAACGTGACTCCTCCTTATTTTGTTTAAAGTGAGCCCCCAGACCTGAATGGCTGCAGCTCCTCTTCCTAACCACCTGTTTGTCCACCTTTCTACACTGATGCACATCACAGTAACCTGCTGTCTCACTAAAAAAAGGCCTACAGTAGCCGAGGCGGCTCATCACCACACCCTGACAAATGAATAAGTTATCGGCGCTCCACGAGCCGACCTGCGGAGAGCAGCTGCGCGGCTGACAGCCTCACCTGCAGATAAGAAGCCATGTTTCCGCCCCCGGTCCTCCGTTCGGCTCAGTCGTAGCACGGATTTCTCTTCAAAGTCATGTTCGGGTCCTGGCTGGTGAAGAGGGCTGGGCTTTGATCACCGGAGGCTGCGGGAGCTGCGTCCGTCCTCTCCGATCGCTTCTCTCCCCTCCTCCGTGCAGCGCGCGTTTAAGTCCTTTACGTCAGAATCCAGTTTACCTGCCCAATAATCCTGATTCCTCCCACTCGAGACTCAGATTAAAGGTTCGGTTCTTCCGGTGGTACCGCAGGTTTAAGAAACTACCGGATGAGCAGCGAGAAGCTCGGTGGCGCAGTTTAAAAATGTATAAATACGAGTTCCTCTGTGCGCACCAGTGTCTCTTTGGAGATAATTGCTGACTTTTAATTAATACTTTAAATGATGATTAATAAAATGAATATAATTGTATTTATTGGTTGATAATATAGCAGTTAATTTGATTTGGCAAGATTTAAATTTGGCGCGTCTCACGTGCGGTACCGTAAATTTCCACTAGAGGGCGTGCATCTATACATCAGAATTTTAGGGAAAGCACTAATCCGGTTTAGTAAGGTAGAGATCTTTGAAGCAGGAAATTCTACACGATACATCAATAGTTCTGGGCTTAAAAGTGCCTGAAAAGTACACATTTGATCCATCTGTAATATCTGCAGTTGCATTAAAAAGTGCTTCACTGCAGTATGGTGCTGTGACTGTGTGCAGAGCTGCAGAAATGGAATGTAGCCATTTTAGCACACGTGATTTCCCCCCTTGGTAAAATAATCTATTGGGAAATGGATAATTTCAGTTAATTTCCATCCAAATTATATAACATTTTATTATTTACCCATCTTTGTGATTTAAGCATAGCAGGTCCCTGAGGTCCAGTGACCAAAGCCTACTGGTTGTGCAGCGCACCAGGCTAAAGACCAAAGGTGACAGATCATTTGCTGCTGTGGCCCCCAGACTCTGGAACCCTCTCCTCAGGCCTGAGATCAGTGGACTCCTTCAAAAAGCAGCTAAAAGCTCACCTGTTCAGGTTGACATTTGCATGACCTTTAATGCTACCCTCTTCTTGTTTTGCTTATTTCACCTTTCCCGGGATCCACTGATTTTCTCTCCCTCTCCTTACATTTTTTTATTCTCATTTTAAAAACTTGTAATAATTTTTTTTCAATTTAATTATACTTTAATTTTGTTTTTGTGAAGTGCCTCGTGAATTTTTATCTTAGGAGGCGCTATATGAATGACTGTTTTCTTTCTTATTCAATTGCACTTGTATGCATCATCATCTAATTTGCTAAAATGAACAAAGCAGAATTAAGTCTGCCAATAAGAAACTAAACAAAACATTCTGTGCTTTATTTTACATTTTAAATGACCAAATGGGAATACATTTTCAAAAAAACTTTTAATGTGATCCCGATTTATTGAGTGATACAGAAACAATAACATTTTTGCTCCATTTTACAAAAAAGCAACACCAAGAGCATGGCAACTATGAAAACAGCATAAACATGTCCTCACAGTTCAGAACACCGGAGAGCAAACGTCGTCATCATCTCTATATAATAAGTCTCTGAGTGTCACTTATCATGAGGTCAAATCTCAAATGACAAAATTCCTCATATAGAGTCCTACTTTTAGTCTGAGACCCACATACAGAGAAGCGGTGGGCAGAAAGTGGAACACCATCCAGGTGAAGAACGCGTGATGAGAGAGAAGACCCTAGAGGAAGAACACTTATTTTTTCTTCTTCTCATCTTTTTTGGCACCATCCGCCTTCTCCTTATCTTTGTCCTTGTCATCTTTTTTCTCTTTGTCATCTTTCTTTTCCTTTTTCCCCTCCTCCTTTTCCTGTCCTTCCTTCTTTTCTGCGTCTCGGTTGGAAATCTTGTTGTTGATCAAGTTGTGCAGAGCCACCACAGAGCGGATCAGGGAGGCCAAGTAGACCACCAACATCTGGTCGTTGGTCTTCAGGTAAAAGGCTTTAGTAAACTCCTGCAACAAAAACAACATTCAGTCACACTGAAAAGGTCATGTGGGGACACCTCAGTGTCCATTATGTTCCCCTTTAAACAGCCTTACCAGGAGATTTACGTCTGGCAGCAGGTTGAAGACATCCTGCAGCTGGTAGATGATCTGGTGGTTGATGGGAAGCTTCCCTGCAGCCACTCTCTCCAGATAGGAACGTATGTCCAGCAGCTTTGAGTTGAGCCCCTTTAGACCATGAACCTGGTTTGTGATGCGCTGAGACAAGGTACCCACTGTGGTATCCTTGATGTCTCTGTAAATAAATTACAACAAAGAAATTAGACAGGGAGGTTATTTATGGTTTACAATGTTCTGTAATCACAAACCCTTATTATTGTTGGTCTCATACCTCAGCAGGTGCTCCACACCCACTTCTTCTGCTTCCTCAGCTCCGATCTCACTGGTGACGTGTTCAAATGTCTTAGATGTTGGAGTGCCATCCTAAAAATAGCAAACAGCTCAAATGAACAAAAATAAAACTTCTGATCTGAAGGGAACTTTATTTTTAAACTTCGATGGGCCATCTTTAGGGTTATTTATGTCTCACGTCATGTATTTCTTCCACAGAGATGTAGGCTTCAGTGGGCAGACCGAGATCTTTAGGCTTCACATCTATAATCACCAACACCTGGTGAGATTTCAAAATAAGAATAGAAGAGAGTATTTAAAGATCGTGAATAGTTTCAAGACAAATTCATGCCCAGATGAATGCACGGAAAAACAACCACAGCATACCGAGTTGTTACAGTACCGCTTGACGAGTTCATTGATGGCTATGTCGTTCTTATGTAGCTTGGGTCCTGTGTGGTACCAACCCACTATTCTTTCCCTGGCTGGAAATCACAGAACAATTATTCAGATATGAATTTATAGTAACAGAACATAAAACAGCTCGAGTCACCACCATACCGTTAACTTTCTTGAACATGCCGTACATGTTTTCCAAGTAGTCGTGATCCAGGAACCACACAGAGTCATCCCTGTCATCTTCATCAAATGGCACTGAAAAGAAACGGATATTAAATCCGGCACCAAAACGACCTCAAGATAATCTGAAATTAAAGTCTGGATTAGAGCCAAAACTCGATCCCATTCTGAAGTCCCACATGTCCTGGTAAAAGCTGGCTGCATCATTGAGTGTTTAACAGAAGAATTTGCTTTATTCTGCAGAAAATAAATAAGAAATTTCTTTCTTAAAAAATAAATAAATAAATAACTAGGACACCCAGGACAAAAAATGCCTGTATCAACAAAAAGCAGATACAATTTAAACTTTTCAATTGTTTACGCTGACACTTTACCAATACCAAAAAATTATTGGAATTGTTAAATTTCTAATTGTTATTTTTTAGCAAACCAGTAGTCTTCAGTTTTATTTATGTCACAGTCACACATGCCTTATGAATAAAGGAAAATGTTATTTGTTTTTAACTGAAAATTTGAAATTCAAAGAATAAATCCCAAATGATAATGAAGATAAATCCTTAAAGGTGACTAATAAATTATGATTTAAATTATTAATTATTATTATTAGACTGATACCATAGGGGCTCTGCAGAGTTCAGCAATAGATGGCAATTAGAGCTTTATTCATATGAATGTGCTGAAGTTATTCCATCAGAATACAGTTTTATGCAGAAATTGATGCTCACTGAACATAGATATTCAATTCAAATTCAAATTCAAAGATACTTTATTAATCCCAGAGGGATTTTTACATGGAGATTTTCGCAGTGCTTATTAAGCAGTAAGGTAAAAATACAAGCAGAGTATTTCAGAAAACCACAAAAATGGAAGAAAATATGTTAAGAAGTTGACATTTTTAAAAAAAAATACTTTAAAAAACATCAAACATCACCAGTTGGATAAAACTAACATTTCTCATATGCCCAGCTAATGGTGCCTATTCATATGTCAACAATCTGTGAATTCTGCTTCACTGAGAGTTCGAGATCCAAGGATATTTGCATTATTGATTTTAGTGTGTTTGTAACCGTTCCTAAAGAAAGTTAAACATTTAAGCACATGAACACAGTTATTCCAATTCATTTTACCAGTCCTGTTCAAGTGAGCACAAGTTTTCATGAGTCAAGTGGGAAAAATCCTAGAAGACAGAATAGAAAACAGGAAAACTAACTGAACTACATAATAAAAATAAAGTAAAAAAATGTACATCTTCTTATTACACTGATGTCACTTGACGATGTGACACCTGTCAACATAATGATAATAACTAATTCAGGTTAGATGCACATTTCTGTCATGCCCCTCCATCATTTTCACTAATAACACTCACCTGCAAAACTGTTGGAGACGTCCAGAACCTTTTTGTGCCATGATCCCAATAAGACACCAACCACACGCTTCTGATTTCCAACTTTTCCTATCCTGTAAATAAAATAATGTTTCATCTACATTATAACGCCAATAATTCGGCTTTTTGGACTACAACGTTTTTATACAGGACCATTGACTAAGTACCCTAATGTTATGTGATTTTATTACTTAGTCCTACGACGTTATGGCGATTTTTATTTGTTTATAAAAATAGATTACATTCATAATTCACGGATATCTTATCAAAGCTAACTAGCTTTGTCATGTCTCAATTCATTTTCAATGAGGCTCTGACTCAGCAGGGCTAACCTTAGCTTAGCCTAGCATCAACGCTACGTTTATTTGTAATTTCACGACCAATAATTAATTTAGAATACACACGAACATTGTGAGCACTTACCTGTTAAAATGGTCCACCACACTGAGCAGCACAAGTGGGTGAACAACCACATTTTCCACCGCTAACTCTGGCATTTTAGCAAAGAAGATAAACAGCACACAACACCTTAACACACTACTACGTGACGTCACTTCCGCCTCGCGTCCCCGACGTCTTTTCCGTTTCTCCGGGCAACAGAAACAACGAGCGAGAAAAAAAAACGCAACAGAAGGGATTATAAATTTTTTAAAAGTCTGGGGTTACTGGCATCTCATGTAAAATGGTAAGAATAAAGTTATTTAATCGATCACACGTTGGTTTTAGCTCAGTTAAAAAAAAATGTAACATTTGTCCAACAGGCTGAAGTCGAAGACACGTTAAAGAGAATTGAAGCCCGCGAAGATGTGGTTGGAATTATCATAGTGAACTTAGATGGTAAATAGATTTATACATTTATCATTCAGGTCATTTTTCTCCCTGATGCAACAGTTTACACTCTAAACAAGGTTTTACTGCGTCATCTTTTCAGGCGTTTACTTGAGATCAACTCTAGATGACGCATTGACTGCTCAGTGCACAAAACATCTTGACAGACTCACAGTGATGGCCAGGAGTGTGGTCAGAAACATCGACCCTGAAGATGATCTCACCTTCCTCCGCTTACGTATCGAGAAGAATGATAAGCATGAGATCATGGTGGGTCTAGGTGGGTGTCTCATGATCCCTGGCACAAACATTTCATTCACTCAAAGCTTAACTTCCTGCTCATCTCTTTCTTTTGTCTTTGCAGAGAACGACTATTTGGTGATAGTCATCCAAAAAATACGTTAATAGCTGTGTGATTTTTTCTGATTCTTAAGTAAATTCCTTTAATTTATACACAACATGCTGTTTATTTTCATTTGTAGAAGGAATTTCTTCAATTTTTCACTTGCTGTGAAATGAATCTGAAATAAAAGAGGGGTTCAATGTGCAGTCTATAACAGATCATTTGTTTACTTTGTGTGTGTGTGATGTTTTTAATAGGTTGTACTTCCTTAAAAAGCAGCTTTTGCATTTGTAACATTAATTTTACATAATGATGGTTTTAATCTAAAATTCTCTCTAAAGGAAAGATGTTCAACATCTAACAGATGTAAAAACTTCACAAACACAAAATAGTTTTTTTTTTACAAATATTTTAATGTAAATTTCCATCAGAATGTACATCAATATATGTCAATAAATAATTCATTGCAATTGTACAGCCCAGATAATACATCACATAGCTGATTGAAGCAAATATTCAAGATTTCTCATCAGGCTTGAGGAGGCGACTGAGCAGGACGGTGTAGTGGACGGGAGAAACTGCTGCTGTATCTTGTGCTCAAGGAGATCTGAATAATTCTGGGACACTGATTTATCAGAATTGAACAAAAACAAAGAAAATAAACCAACAGTGGTGGGAGTTTATTGTCATATGAACAAAAAGATGGTGATGATATCCGATGTTTACATACAATTCAGTTTCAACAATATTACTTTTGTCCCTGAAACTAAACTTTTCTGTAAAAAAAAAGAGGTACAATACGTTTTCATCATCGTCAGATGTGTCTGACAGGGCTTTAGTTTGACATAAGTAATGGCAATTATCTAATAAAACTTGGAAATAATTGCAAAAGGCGTCATTACTTTTAATTTGATGAATGTGGAGATTCATATGACTTTGACTTTTAGACAAAAAACCTGGATGGTTGACACGTTTTTTAATCTTCCAACCCCAGTGCATCTCTTTCTGCTCCCAAACATTTTGACATCACACAACAATGTTCAAAACACAGCTGATCTACCTGTCGGTAATTTTGCTACAACGTTTTATTCTGACCCGCGGCGATCCCCGCAAAGCATATGGCTTGTCACAAGTTAAAGCAGTAAAACATACAAAACTCTTCTATCACAAGCAACGTTTATCAAACAAAAACCTTTTGTAGACTTTAGCTGCTCAGTTTGTCCTGCAGATCCTTCAAGAAAGCTGCTCTGTCTGTGAGATGCAGAACTCAGAAGGTCAAATTTAAGTGCATCCTGTCAATTTTAAGGCCTGAGGTGTGCTTTGATTCACTGACTTAAACTTGCTGCACTCTGTAGACTCAGGTAGTAGGAGAGGAGCAATGCTCAGACGCTTAGACACCATGGATTTTGGTTACATCAATAAACCGTCCCTGGGAACAATCAGATAACATCGATGACTGGCCAGAAAGGCAACAAGAGCACCACCGGCTCCTTCAAGTGCTTCAAGTGTGGCGAGCACCCTGGCTCCTGTTACGGTCCCCTCACTGTCAGAGGCGTGACCCCTCACACGACCTTTGTCAGAGGTCACCTCGGTGTGTACCCACTGACTTGGCTCCTGCCCCAGTGAATGTTAGGTAGTGTCAAACACCTCCTGAAGTGCTCCAGCTGAGCCTGCAGTCGGTCCCGCTCCTCCCTCACTTTCTGCCTCTGACTTACCAGCTCCTAAAGAATTACACGAGATGTTAAAGAGATGCGATCGTCGCCACGGAAAAACAAGACTATGCAAACAAAATAAAGCAGACATGCACTTTCAGACTGAGCGTCTCACCCCCATAGTGAGAGAAAGCTGCTCTGCAGTTCTGGTCAGATTGATATTCTGAGCTTCAAGTTTTTTACACTGACTGTGAAGAACGTGCCGCTCCACGGTCCATTCTGTAAAGAGAGGAGTGTTCATTAAAACCACACAGAGTCACCGTTCTCATTCACCCAACAACCCAACAGATCCTTTAGAAGTAGCACGACTGAAACGAACGTGAATCTAAAAGAAACAAGAAGAAATTCAAATAAAATCAACAAATGGAAACTACAGCTGGTAGATTTTATTTTGGAAGCATTAAACACACAGGTGGAGAAGTGTCTCTACTGGCAGTAAATTATGAGATTTTTTTCTTTTATTCTGATTTCTGTTCAAGGAATTTACTAAATGTGATCATTTCAGTTTTGATTTTAAAACCAGTGTCTCTAATTTTAGAAATTATTCATTTACCCCCCAAAAAGAAAGTAATAAGCAGGAAACTCCCAAACACCGTTCACTCACCGTCCACGTACTCCTGGTAGGCCTCAAAAACAGCTTCAATTCCTTGCCACTTCCTTGGAGCTTCCTCCATGTTTTCATCTTCATCTTCCTGACCTGACTCTTCCTCGTCTTCATCAGATAAATGTTCCCGAGGAGCTGGAGTACCCCGGCTCGCTGCGGATGAGTGGAAGTGGTGGCCATTGACGTGTGCGTGCTGAGGGGCGTGGCTGAGATTTAATGATTTCAGCTGAGAGATGCAATCAGGTTTCTCCACAACCTCTGAGACACAAATTGAGAAGAATAAATAAAAAATATCAATAAAGGTGGTACTGATTCTGACCACTAGGTGGCAGAATAGTGTCATTTTAATCTTCAAAGTTGGGCTTTGCTGTGATTTCTGGAAGCATGGACCAACCTTTATTCTGGTGAGTGGACTGCAGCACAGCCTGGTGGAAATGCTGAGCGAAAGCCTCAGGGATGAACCTCTCCCAGGGCCGACTCCGCCCATTCGGCACGGAACCAGGTTCCTTTTTCTGAGGAGGAGCTGCAACACCATTCTGCAGGAGCTTCCTGTTCGACTTCGAGTCTATGGATTCAGACTTCTCATGATGGGAGGTCAACGGAGGAGGGATGCGAGCAACCTGGGAGTCCACGGAGGGTTTGATGTTGTCACTATGGTGGGGCTTCTGTTTGTGTAGGAAGGGAGGAGAGGGGCTGGGAGAGTCTGGGTACCGGTGTCCGTTTGGCTGAGACAGTTTGGAGGAGTCACCTAAAAGACGAGCACAGCTCATTAAAGAAAAAACGTCTTCTAACCTTACAAGTGTTTGACTTGACATCTGTCTGAGGCGCACCAGTTGAAGGAATGGCTGGACTTCTGCACAACGGTAGAGGATTATATCTGAGTGTGTCTAACGTCACAGTCTTCCTCTGAATGGCCCTTAGCAGCTCCTCTGTCCTCTCCTTATCTACAGAAGAAAAGGCAGAATGAGAGCACCCGTCATTCATCCCCCCCCCCCCCCCCCCACACACACACACACACACCCCACACCAAAAAAAAAACTGAGGAGCTTAAAGAGCGGTCTGGGAAAGGCTGACGGGAAAATGTCACAGGGTGGATTATTTGAGTCAGAGCAGCAAATTCTGATTTAACCAAATCTCATCGTTTCCCTGTTTTTAACAGAAGAGATTCATTCTTAGCTAATAACAGATTGTTATATATTATTTTCATTAAAAAAATCCTATTTCATCAAAGCATCTTAGTTTAACATAATCATTCCATTATCATTGTCCTTCAGAGACTAAAAATGGAGGAAAATTTGAGACGCAATGAAACAAGAAGCAGTTTTTAAACAATCATTGTCCCTCCACACCAGGAATGAAACACAAACTCTATCATTTGTTGAAAACATCTCATAGATTAGTGAACGATCAACAAGAATTGTGTTCATCTTCACTATCAAATAGCATGGACCTCACAGAATATGCAAGTGTCACCCAAAAAAGCTTCCTCACATTTGTTTCCAGTGTTTTGTGTAGTTTTAAGGGACAAAATATTTGATTTACGATTCGGTAGAAGGATAACATTTTTACTTCAAACTCGTAACTTTATTGCCTTCTCACTCCTCCTACATCCTCTGTGCAATCACCAAACAGGAAAAAACAGTCAATGCTGCGATCTTTCCAAGAAAGAAAGCTGCAAAGTCGCACGTGGGATGCATGTAACTTCTAAGCAGGTCGTTACCTTTCCTCTGCTGAAGGCTGACATGGCTGAGGTTGAACTTAAGGAGGAAGTCTTTTTTCTTCTCCAGCTTGGGGGTGCTGTCCATCTGCTCAGCAGAGAACGAGGTGGTTAGGGAAGCCGTGGGCGTCGGAGGTGAACAGATCTTTCTTTTGCACTGCACTGCAGGTGGAGAGACGCTGCGCTCTCTCATCATCCTCCTCCTCTTCCTCCTCTTCTGAGCAAGAATTTCATCGCGGTGGGCCAAAGTGGTGAGGCCGCACGAACGCAAAAAATCCACTTTCTTTGAAAAGAGAAACACATTGGGTGGTGAACATAACAGAAAGAAATGCAAAAGCTGAAGGGAACATGTGCGTTTGTGCACCTCGGAGGACGCGTCCAGTTTGAGGGGAGGTTGTTCAGTCACCCTCCTCAGATGAGCTTTTACCTCCTCTTCATCGCTCTCATCGTACGACTCGTCCAGGTCATAGTAATAACCTGATAAAAGCGAGTGGGAGAGGAATTCATTAGTTATTATTAAAGAAATTGCAGCGTACGAGGCTTTTTAATGACACCATCAACAATTCCCCACAGTCATCCCTTGATGTCTGCAGCATCCGGCTCAACCCTCACCTCCCTCTCTGGCCTCCTTCCGTCTCTTCTCCTCCAGGTCCAGTTTACTGAGCAGCTGGCAGTGCTGCTGGAGAGCTTCGTCATACACCAGCATGCTGTCAGGCGCTTGCTCCCTCGTCAGGGATGGAGAGGACACTTGGAACCGGACCCCCGGTTCGGTCGGGGTAGTTGGGGGCACAAGGGGCCTGTGGGGGAGATTGTTCGTGTGATGTCGAGGGTACAGACTCTGAATGGCTCGCTCCTGCTCAGTCTTGGTCCACAAGTCCTGTAAGCCTGCTCCTCGCATTGAGGAGTACCTGTCAGGACTCTTTGAAGTCCTCTTGCTCCCATTTTCTATCCCCCAGCTGATCAGAGGCCGGTCAGCCCGGGTCAGTCCCGGCGGTGGGCGACTGGGCAGAGTGGGAGGGTTAACCCTTCTGCGGGAGTCTAGGGGAGGTGTGTCGACGAGGGAGGCTGGGTTCCACAGCGTAGTGGGAGGCACAGGGGGATGAGGGGGAACTTTAGGGGAAATAAGGGGAGGTGGGGCACCAAGATGGGGGTGTGTGTCTTTGCTGCTCAGGTTGTTATAGACTGAACTTGTTCTGTTAAGCCAAAAAAATTATAATAACAACATTTAGACAACTGGAGTTTTCCCTTTTCCCTTTCTGAAGCTAGTTTGTTTTCATTTTTTTCACCTGTGACTCTCTCTTCTTGGTTCCAAACCTTTCCCCGGTGACCTGAGGCCCACCTCTAGTGGACCCTCCCTCTCCTGTGCATGTGCCCGATGCCGTGCCAGCCACACTTCATCGCTGGTCCTCTGTGTCATCATGGCAGCTGCCAGAGCCCCATGAATCCCTGCAGAAGCAGCAGCACGGTGCTTCCCAAGGTGAGAAGGCAGCAGGCTGGTCACCGGGTGTGGGACAGAGGTCCTGGAGGTGTGAAGACCAGGCTGCAGGTGAACGGGTTTAGCTGCTGGGAAGCCTGGGTGGTCCGAGTCCTTGCTTTTTTCTGGAGAAAGACGACATTTTAAATACTAGATCATAAAAGCAACTATGTTCTTAAGTTGATGTCAGAATGATGCACACTTCTTCTACTTCTGAAGGTTAAACTCACTATTTTCCTTAAAATTGGCAGAATGAGAGCAAAACACACGTCATGTAGGGAACCAAATACAAACCTCTATTATGTTCAGTTATGACCCAATGCTCTATGGTGCAACAACCAACAATATTGTCATAGTAGATCAAAATTTTCTATCAGTGCCTTGTTGGACATCGGGCTCCTGTGGCAGCTCTTAGCTACTTTTATAGCAGCATTATCTGTTCCTGATAAGCTTAGGGACAAATCAATCAATTAGAAAATTTAGTTGGTGTTTTGCACAAATATTTTTAGATTCCTGTCTTTAAAAGTCTCTAAATTAGGTATTCTGTGAGTGTGTGTGCGTGCGTGCATGTTTGTGTGTAGGTACCCAGCCGGTTTGTGGTCAGCCTCTCTCCCGGTCGGGTTCTGTCCTCAGGCGCTGCCCTCCGAGCCTGAAGCTCAGCCAGGTAGTGACTCTCCGCCGCTCTGACCATCTGCTGCTGTCTGTCCCTCTGTCTCTCCTTCTGTCTGTCCAGCTCTCTCTCTCGCTCTTCCTCCCGTTCTCGCTCCAGCCCGGCCCCGCGCTCCCTTTCTTTCTCTCGTTCACGCTCCTGCTCTCTTTCACGCTGGCGGAGCTCATTCTCCATCTGTAGCCTGTGAGGGAGGTTGACAAGTACACACACACACACACACACACACACACACACACACACACACACACACACACACACACACACACACACACACACACAAAAGGAGAAAATGTGAGAGATGCAACATTCAACATGAGGCAGATATTAGCCACACACTGGTGAAGACATTTCTGACATACTTACAGAAATCTGCACTGATGTGCTGACACACACACACACACACACACACACACACACACACACACACACACACACACACACACACACTTTTCCATTTACCACAAGGAAAATAATCCATACCCAGCATGACTGAGCAAGAGCAGATGAACACTTAATAGATATCCACAGGAGTATGACAAAAAAGAAAATGCATACGCGTGCACTCACATGCACACACACACACACATACACACACACATATGCACACATGTTCACCAACAATCAAT